GTGTGTGTGTGTGTGTGTGTGTGTGTGTGTGTGTGTGTGAGTTTGTGTGTGTGTGTGTGTGTGTGTGTGTGTGTGCGCGCCCATGCTTACGCGTGTGCATGGCGAGTATCAATTATTTTTTATCAGCATCAGCTCTCAATGAAATGTTATTAATTGTTATTAATCGTTGATAATTGTTATGATTATTGCTGTTTATTTGTTGTTATTAATTGTTATTAATTATTATGAAAATTTCTGACGGCTATGGTCGCGATGCCTGTAGGATGCGTCTACGGAGGAAGATGGCGTCATCCTGTTGGACAATCAGGACGACTGCAAACTGATCGACGCGCAACGTCATCATGGCGTCACGACGGTCACGTGGCAGCGTCAGTTCGACACGTGCGACGATGACGATTACGTCATTGAGGTCAGTCGGTTCAAGGCCAAATTGTCAAATTGGTATTTGTAAAATTATAATATTATTTATAGTATTATTATATTATATTCATATGTTGTTCTTTCTTTCTTTCAATATTTATATGTTTTTTATAGGCTGGCAAAAACAAACAGCAATACATACGATACATATAAATGCGAAAAACACAACACGGGTTTTCATTCACAGTAAAAAGAAAGACAAACAAAGGAGTAAAAAAAACGCGCACCGCTTCAAAAAATTCGAACAGATATTTTATATTTTTTTATAATTTATATTGCTTATTTTATATATCTTATATTTTTGATCTGATATTTGATATTTTTATACTTTTATACTTTATACTTTTATATAATATTATAAAATATATATATTATATTAATTATTTTATATATTGTATTTTTTTGATATTTGATGTGTTTTACGCGCAGGACGGTACAACGCACATCGTGTACGCCGTCGGTGCCGGGCCGGTGTGGACGGTGGCGAACGGAGACATACACGAGTCGAGCACGGTGACGGGATTCCAGCGCGCCCAGCTGCTGAAGAACATCGCCCCGGCTACTCCCGTGCCAGCCGGAGCGAAGACGTTCCAAATCACCGCGCAGCAGGTGCGAACAGGTGTAAGATGCAGCCGATCGCTCGTTCGTTCGTCAATCAATAATAATACCCGAGCAGCAGCAGTGACCCCTGCTGCTGATACGGGATAGCTAGGGAGTGTGTTACTGGATAACTAGGGGGTGTTACTGAATAGCTAGGGAGTGTGTTACTGGATAACTAGGGGGTGTTACTGAATAGCTAGGGAGTGTGTTACTGGATAGCTAGGAAGTGTGTTACTGGATAACTAGGGGTGTGTTACTGGATAACTATGGAGTGTTACTGGATAGCTAGGGGGTGTGTTACTGGATAACTAGAGGGTGTTACTGGATAGCTAGGGATGTGTACTGGATAACTATAGGGTGTGTTAGCTGGATAACTAGGGGGATGTTATTGATAGCTATGGGAGCTGTGTTACTGGGATAAAACTAAGGGATGTTACTGGATAACTAAGGGGGTGTTACTGGAAGTAGCTAGGGAGTGTGTTACTGGAATAGCTAGGGAGTGTGTTACTGGATAGTTAGAGGGAGCGTGTTACTGGATAGCTAGGGTGTGTTACTGGATAGCTAGTGGGAGAGCGTGTTACTAAATAACTGGTGGGGATGCCGTCCGTTGTTGCGTATAGGAAGGAGGAAAGACGTAGCGTTAGACATGTGAAGACGTGCGACAGTGTAGACGACTGTTCGCGTTAGTTCACTCTCGTTACTGTCAAACCGATCTGTTGTTAAATTTAAAATTTAAAATATTTGGTCATTAAAATGAAATAGCTATTAGTTTATTCAAAATAACCATTATGCCAATATTTAATTATATTATTCAATTAGTAAATTCATAAAATTCACATATATGTTATTTTCCTCATTATTTTCTTATTAAATGAATTTATTTAAATTAAAATAGGAATTCGGTTAGGAATAAAGTTAAGAGTTAAATATAGAATTATCTCATAATGTCATTCATTATAAATATGATAGAAAATAAAAATAAAATCATTACACTCATAAGACAATGTGTATTTTCGCCACGTGTAGGTGCGTGTTCCGAGCTCCGATACGACGTATTGGTGCAACACGCAGAAGTTGCCCGAACTACGTGATAAACATCATATCATCAAGGTAATTAAAGGCGCTGCCATGTTGCGATAAACAACGCAAACTACACCAGTGAATTATAATAGCAAGTTAAGCAACAGCATAGCTATAATATAATAATAATAAGTATACTTGTTATATAATTATTTTATATACTTTGTATTATATTAATGTAATAGATTAATAGAATCTTGATTGAAATCGGCATATAATGATAATTATATAATAATAGCAAGCACACATGTAATAAAATAATGTAATAGAATAGTATAATATCGATAGTGAAATCGGCAACGATTGAAAACGCGAAAGCGCTAGACAACATAATGAAAAAATGTAATACAAAAACGACAGTAATTTCCGTACTACAAGTAAAGTGAATAAAGCTCGGCGCACACGTGAGTAATTTTACTCAAGTAAAATGACGCATGAGTCATTTTACTCACGCGTCATATTTTCAGCGTCCGCCGCAAACGTGAGTAAAATTACTCAAGGTATAAGTGGTAATGCAGATCGCGTGAATGTGCGCAGCCAATACTGGTCGCAGCCGTCTTTAAAATAATTTAAACGCATGCGCTGTGAGTACCAGTGTTGAGTAAATTTACTCAGCGCGCGCACACGTTGAGTAAAATGACGCATGAGTCAAAAATGATCGAACACGTTTGATATTGAGTAAAATGACGCATGCGTCAAATTACTCAACGAAAATCCGCCGCACACGTGAGTAAAATGACTCATGTGTCATTTTACTTGAGTAAAATTGCTCACGTGTGCGCCGGGCTTAAGATACACTTTAAAATCATTTCAACTCTTATACGTGAATTTATTTATTTCTTACTAACTTTATATTGTTTAAATCTATTCATTTCTAACTGTTGTTTCTTCCACGTTTGTCTGCGACAGTTTGAAGGCGTCGTACAGCCGGGGAACGAGGCCCTCGTACATCACATGGAAGTGTTCCACTGTAAGGTGAAACCCGGGGAGCATGTGAGCGCCTACAACGGACAGTGTCATGCAGAAAACCTGCCCGCACAACTGCAGTCCTGTAAGGAGGTGATCGGAGCGTGGGCGATGGGCGCAAAGGTACGTCCGACCTCGTCATAATCGCGAACACGATCATTAGCGATCACGATCGATCACTAGCGATCACAATCGATCACTAGCGGCTCTGAGTTACAAGATTAACTAGTATATTAGATCGATTTTTTTAAAATCACATCTTATCAATTATGATAGCGTTTATGATAGGTGAGTTCTATGATTGGATAAGGTGGGAGGGGGTGGCTGTGTAGGCCTTGATGTGCCGCTGTCCTTAGTGCGTCATAATGTTGTAGTTGTTGTTGTAGTTGTTTTACTTGTTGTTGTTGCTGCTGTTGGTGGTGGTGTAGTGTTGTTGTTGTTGTTGTTGTTGTTGTCGTCGTCGTCGTTATTGTTTATGTTGTATTTTATGTTGGTTTTGTTGATGATGATGATGGTGGTGTTGATGTTGTTGTTGTTGTTGTTGTTGTTGTTGTTGTTGTTGTTGTTGTTTTTGTTGGAGGCAGCCGCCGGCAGCAATACGGCACAGTATTACGAGTCTTTCCTTACGCAATTGTCAGTGGTGCGCCCAGCTTTAAAACTGCAGACAACATTTTTACGCAGAGTTTTTTTCACGCACGAACACCAAGCTGTCGACATCGCGGCATTTCATCGTTAAGCAGTATTTTTTAAACGCTCCTATGGCGACGCTGAATGGCTAGAGGGACCTGTCAATCACTCCATGCGCATGCGTGCATTGCCACGGCGGCTAATACATGAGACGTGGTGGGGGAAATGGACGTTGACGATAGCTTACCGTTGCAGGCTATGGCGTATCCTGCCGAGGCTGGCCTGGCGATTGGAGGACGGGATTTCTCCCCTTACGTCATGATAGAGATTCATTACAACAACCCGGAGACTCGCTCTGGTACGTGCGCGCCTTCTATACGCGCGTTATTATCATTATCTAATATATTGTGTGTGTGTGTAGTGGCAGGTGACAGATATCCACATCCAAGTGTGGCTTTAGGCCACCTCGTAGCATGTAGGGTAAAAAACACCTACTTATGTTCACGCGTCCTTCCCTTGCCTCCCTGTCACTCGCTCAGCTCCTTCTTCTTCTACCGCGCCGCTAGCTAATCTTCCCTGCAGCCTTTCCTCAGTCTTCCATCCCCTCTTCCTTCAGCAAGCTATATTATGAGTTTACCTCAGACGGCACTGCACGCCTAAACACGGCTGCGCGCGCATGCGCAATATCTCCCGCGAAAATCGTATTTTGCAAAAGATTATGCATTTAAAATAAAAGAAGAGTACCTAGCATAGATTTATATGATAACATTCATCTGTAGACAGCGCGTCGGTGTAGGGTGTTACATGCGTTGGTGTGTGTGTGTGGGGGGGGGGGGTACACGCGTCGGTGTAGGTGGGCACATGCGTCGGTGTAAATGTATGTGGTGGGGTACACGCGTCGGTGTAGGGGTACATGCGTCGGTGTGTGTGTGGGGTGGGGGTACACCCGTTGGTGTAGGGGCACATGCGTCGGTGTGTGTGGGGGGGGACACGCGTCGGTGTAGGAGAGCACAGGCATGCGTCAGTGTGTGTGTGGGGGGGACACGCGTCGGTGTAGGCGTGCACTCGTCGGTGTGTGTGGGGGTACACAGTCGGTGTAGGTGGGCACATGCGTCGGTGTGAATGTGTGTGTGTGGGGGGGTGCACGCGTCGGTGTAGGGAAAAAAGAGACCTATTTTCGGTCGCGGAATGGTTATTGTCGAGTGAGCTGACGGGGTCTGGATGCCACCGCGCGAGGGACGAGTGGCCAAGCCACACTTGGATGTGGATATCTGTCGCCTGCCTGTACGTACGTGCGTGCGCATGCGCGTGTGTATTTATACATACGATAATGCGATATAATTTGTTAGTATATTATATATATATAATATAGGGTAGCATTATAGTCTGTGACTGTGTTGCGTAAGACTGGGTGGACAGCTCTGGCATCAGGTTCTACTACACCGATAAGCTGCGTCGCTATGACGCCGGCGTCACTGGAGCTAGGGCTGGAGTACACGCCAAGATGGCCATCCCTCCGCAACATGAAACACTTCGACACTCAGGACGATTGCATCATGGAATGCACGCGCGCGTATGTGCCTACGTACTGTGATACTGTGGGTGGGGTATGGAAGTGGGTGATGGGGTGGTGGGTTGATGGGGTGATGGGGTGGTGGTTAACTCGTAGAGTGATGGGTTGGAAGAAATGTTTATGTGCGTTCGTAAAAATATAAACGGATAGACGGACAGAGGACCGATGACGAACGGACTACCGGACAGAACATAGAATAGACCAACAGATGGACAGACTGACGGACTGACAGATGGTCAGATAAGTCAACGGTCGTACGGACACACAGACTGACAAAAAAATTACCGACGGACGGGACACAGGAACGGATAAATAGAAGAACTGATAGACTCGGCAACCGGAAGAACGGACAGACGGCCAAACAACCTGACGGGATGACGAAAGGAATGACAGACCGATGAACAGACGGACTGGCTTAACGACAAATCCCGCTCCAATCTCACGACAATGTCGTGAAAATCTCGCGACTATCTCGTGACAATCTCCTGACAATCTCGTGACAATCTCGCGACTATCTCATGACTATCTCGTGACAATCTCGTGACAATCTCGTGACAATCTCGTGACAATCTCGTGTGTTTGCAGTCTCTGCCGCCGAAGGGTATTCACGTGTTCGCATCGCAGCTTCACACGCACCTGACGGGGCAGCGATCTGGACGAAGCATTCCCGTGACGGGGTCGAACTTGCCGAGTTGAACCGCGACAACCACTACAGCACGCACTTCCAGGAGATCCGCCTGCCTCAAGCGACAGGTGCACGTGCTTCCGTAAGTAATGAGCCTCTCTCTCTTTCTCTCTCTCTCTCTCTCTCCTCTCTCTTTTCTCTCCTCTCTCTCTCTAATCTCTCTCACTCTCTCTCTCCTCTCTCTCTCTCTCTCCTCTCTCTCTCTCTGTCTGTCTCTCTCTCCGCGCTCCTCTCTCTCTCTTCTCTCTCCCTCTCTCTCCGTCTCTTCTCTGCTTCCCGGTCCGCGCTCGTCTTCCTAGCTCTCTCTCTCTTCTCCTCACTTGTCCTCCTCCCTCTCTCCTCTCCGCTCCTATTCACCCTTCTCTCCCTCTTCCGGTAGTGGAGGAGGGAGTGGTAGAGAGGAGAGAGATGGACGAACAAGAGCTAGAGATAGCACACAGAAAGAACGCGCGCGCTTATGTGTATGTGTGCGTGTGTGTGCGTGCGATTGCGCGCGTGTGTGTGTCTGCGCGCGCGTGCGTGTGTGCGTGCGTGCGTGCGTGCGTGCTTGCGTGCGTGCGTGCGTGCGTGCGTGCGTGCGTGCGTGCGTTCGCGCGCGGGAGAGAGAGTGAGAGACAGAAATAGAAAAGGGGGACAAGGCAGAAAAAGAGCGAGCGAGAAAGAGACTAAGAGGGTGGGAGGAGGGGGTGACGCCTGGATTAGATGCATTAGATGTGAAGATGGGCGGATGGACGGGCGCAACCACTAATGTACGTATATAACTCATAATACACATATAAACCGGCGGGAAGACGGAAATACGGATTGACAAACAGACCCAAATACAAATAAGTACACCGATCAATAGATATTAACTAGGAGAGAGCGTAAAGGGAAAAGATAATGGTAAAGGAAAATAAGATGTTTTTTTTGTGGAGAGGAGGATAATATACCTGTTATTATCAGGGCGTAGAACAAATACTAAAACAACTGATGCATGGGGCTCTGATAGTTCATCCCATAGATAGCAGCTAGTCTGTTGTAACCATGGCAATGTTTGACATCGTATTTACTAAAGTGATGACATTTTAGTGGCGTGTTTGCATTCCAGGGAGACGCCCTCGTGACCGTCTGCGAATACAACACAGAAGACCGCACTAACGTCACTATGGTAACCGACAACGCGTCCAACCCCCACCACCACCACCACCCGACCACCACACATAATTATGGCCGATCACACATCGTACCCGGTTTTAATATTCTATTCATCTTTTGAATTTATACATACGCATTCCCCCCCCCACCCCCGGCAGAGAAGTCGGATTCGCTGTCAGAATTAACTGTTGTGTAAATTTTCGTGAATGGTTTACGTGCGAGAGAGACGCGTTAAAAACGAGAGAATGAATAGAATTAAACGTCATAGGCCATAGAGCAGCGCCCCCCCCCCCCATCACGTGTAGAGTTGTGTTTACACTATATGGAAATGTTGACGCGTTGATAAACTTTACAACGTTTTATCAACCTTTCTATCATATGTTCAAAGTGTTTACGTTATCGACCGCGAGTCGGCAAACGTTAAAACATTTGACCCGCAGTGTGCGCGCGGGGCGACGTGGATACGTATATTTGCACGTATTATTTCGTGCCAGCGTGCCGCCGATAGCGAAAACGCGCTCTTCCATTGGATAGAGGGAAACATCTCCTAATTGCTATATTAACAGAGTGGCTGAGTGGCAAAAAAATTGATCAACTCGCTGACCAAAAATTAAGGAAATTAAACATGTTCTAATCTCTCAACTAGAGAAAAGCTGATCAATTCGACAAACTTTCAGCAGAAAGTTGATAGTGTAAACCCAGCTTATATTATCGAACGCGCGTAATCGAGCTCGATGCAAGGGAAATTAGTTGATGTAATTGTTGCGTTCGTTACGTCGGCAGAAACACGCGAGAGCCGATTCTGCCGCCAGGGTTGCTAGAAGCGAGGTTGCCGACAGTGGCGACGACGTTGACAACTGTGGCAACGACGTTGACGTCAGTGGCGACGATGTTGGCGACAGTAGCGACGATAGACAGTGACGACGTACATAGAAGCGACGTTGTCGACAGTAGCGACGACGTTGACGATAGTGGCGACGATAGACAGTGACGACGTACATAGAAGCGACGTTGTCGACAGTAGCGACGACGTTGACGATAGTGGCGACGATAGGCAGTGACGACGTACATAGAAGCGACGTTGTCGACAGTGGTGACGACGTTGACGATAGTGGCGACGATAGGCAGTGACGACGTACATAGAAGCGACGTTGTCGACAGTGGTGACGACGTTGACGATAGTGGCGACGATAGGCAGTGACGACGTACATAGAAGCGACGTTGTCGACAGTGGTGACGACGTTGACGATAGTGGCGACGATAGGCAGTGACGACGTACATAGAAGCGACGTTGTCGACAGTGGTGACGACGTTGACGATAGTGGCGACGATAGGCAGTGACGACGTACATAGAAGCGACATTTATATTATTATATATATATATACTAACAAATTATATCGCATTATCGTATGTATAACATACACACGCGCATGCGCACGCACGTACGTACAGGCAGGCGACAGATATCCACATCCAAGTGTGGCTTTAGGCCACCTGTCCCTCGCCGGTGGCATCCAGACCCCGTCAGCTCACTCGACAATAACCATTCGCGACCGAAAATAGGTCTCTTTTTTCCCTACACCGACGCGTGCACCCCCCTACACACCCACACAGACACACCGAGCATGTGCCCCCCTCACCGACGCGTGTACCCCCCACCCCCACACACAACAGACGCATGTGCACGCCTACACCGACGCGTGATCCCCCCCCCACACACACACCGACGCATGTGCCCACCTACACCGACGCGTGTACCCCCCCACACACACACGACGCATGTGCCCCCTACACCAACGCGTGTACCCCCACCCACACACACACACCGACGCATGTGCCCCCCTACACCGACGCGTGTACCCCCCACACACATTCACACCGACGCATGTGCCCACCTACACCGAGCGTGTACCCCCCCCCCCCCCACACACACACACCAACGCATGTGCCAACCTACACCGACGCGTGTCTACAGATGAATGTTATCATATAAATCTATGCTAGGATAATCTTCTTTTATTTTAAATGATAATCTTTTGCAAAATCACGATTTCTCGCGGGAGATATTCGCGCATGGCGCGCGCGACCGTGTTAGGCGTGCAGTGCGTCTGAGGTAAACTTCATAATATAGCTTGCTGAAGGAGAGAGGGATGGAAGACTGAGGAAAGGCTGCAGGGAAGATAGCTAGCGGTCGGTAGAAGAAGAAAGGAGCTGAGCGAGTGACAGGGGAGGCAAGGGGAAGGACGCGTGAACATAAGTAGGTGTTTGCTACCCTACATGCTACGAGGTGGCCTAAAGCCACACTTGGATGTGGATATCGTCACCTGCCACGTACACACACACACAATATATTAATAATAAATAATAATAATAACGCGCGTATAGAGGCGCGCAGTACCAGAGCGAGTCTCCGGGTTGTTGTAATGAATCTCTTATCATGACGTAAGGGAGAAATCCCGTCCTCAATCGCCAGGCCAGCCTCGGCAGGATACGCCATAGCCTGCACGGTAAGCTATCGTCAACGTCCACTTCCCCCACCACGTCTCATGTATTAGCCGCCGTGGCAATGCACGCATGCGCATGGAGTGATTGACAGGTCCTCTAGCCATTCAGTCGTCGCCATAGGAGCGTTAAAAAAAATACTGCTTAACGATGAAATGCCGCGAGGTCGACAGCTGGTGTTCGGCGTGAAAAAACTCTGCGTAAAAATGTTGTCTGCAGTTTTAAAGCTGGGTTGCACCACTGACAATTGCGTAAGGAAAGACCCCGTAATACTGTGCCGTATTGTTGCCGGCGGCTGCCTCCAACAAAAACAACCACAACAACAAAACAACAACAACACCAACAACAACAATA